TATCTGGGCTCTGCTGAACCATCCTCAGCTTCCACATACTGTACTCCACTTAGTGCTCTGGATGCTCGGTAGCTCTGTGTACTAGTCGTCTAGGGCCTGATTGTTAGCTAGGCTCTTTCCCACAGAGCCTCAAGATGAAATTTGGGGACCCCCAGAAAAATCCTAGTCCTTTCAGGACTTAAAATATCTCAGTGGCTGGCCTCTGCTTAATGTGGCAACGTTATAAATATCACTGCAAAAATCCCACTATTCAGTCTGCATAGACAGAAGCTAAACCTGTCGAACCAAATTTAGCTTCCTGGAGGGAAAAATTTCTCTTGCGACTTGAGCAGCAAACTCAGTCTGCCTACTTGAGAGCACTGCTGGAAAAGCCAGTGTAAGTCACAGTGTGGTTGTTGTTAATGATGGGCTATGGAGTGATTCTTATGGGAAATTGGGCAAGGATTTGAATAATTCAGTGTTTCTGCCATTGTTGGGAGATGACCAGACAGCATCTGGATTACAGGTTTTGAAAAGAGAGAGAGGGAGGGAGAGTGTGTGTCTGCGTGCGTGCGTGCATGCGCACACATACACATGTGCTTCTGTATAAAACAGAAGAAGTAATATTCCTTATCCTAACTTGTTAAACATTAGATTTTCACTTACCTAATATGGCAGATCTCAATGTTACGCTTATTTTGTATATTATAGTATAAAGTGACAAATGATATGTTATGATATTATGCCACACAAACTAGAGAGGGCCTGTCACAAATGACTAGCACTGTCAGAAGAGGAGCCCAAAGAAGGTGGGATATACTGGGAGGTTCCCAGAAGGAGTTGGCTCGGATTTGTTTTGTGTTTGAATTAATGTGGCTGCTATTGCTTCAATTTTGTTGGGAGCTGTAGGTGAAGAGAGACTTGTCAGGAGGTATCTGTATGGAGGAATGAGACTGTACTTGTAAAGGGGGTGACATTTGGGACTGGAATGGCATTCTGTAGGGGCAAAATGTAAAAAGTCACTGAGCTGGGAGGAAGAGAAGATGGCAGGCTCCTGTCCATTAAATAGATTCATTGGAAATGCAGGTGAGGACAAGAAATTTCACTTAAGATGCATAAGACAAACATGGGCCTTTTGAAGGGTTTGCAGGGGAGTTTACATAGTTGAATCAATGAGCGAATGTGTTTTGTTCTGTATGTGGGAAGTGCAGCAGTGTTCCAACCCCTGACTGGATCCCAGCTACTATGATGATATAAAAGATTTGTAAAATTAATGGAGAAATGAGTAGCTCCCTGTTGCAAAGGCAGAAGGCAGGGAATGTGGGTCGCACAACTGATCAGTGGCAGAGCCGAGAATAGAATCCAGGTCTTTGGATGCCCAGGGCAGCACCTTAAACACTGAACTGTGCAGCCTCTCTGAAAAGAGAATGGGGCGGACTGTGGAAATGATTTGAATACACAGAAAGGCTATGCTCAGGCTACAGCTAACAAAGCTCCTGTCCTGTTCTCCTTTGCAGGTGCAAGTTCTTCAGCCTCACAGAAACACCAGAAGACTATACGATCATTGTGGATGAAGAGGGCTTTCTAGGTAAGTCACAATGCATGCCACTTTCCCCTCCAGGCTAGGGTGGAGGGAGGCACATTCACCATTTGTCATTTTCCTGATCAGACTTTAAACTGGAGTGATTGTGAAACCGTTCCTTTTGTCAATGCAAGAAGCACAGTTACAAAAGGCACTTTGATCATGTCTTTGCTATAAAAAGTGGTTCACGGGCAGGACGGGAATACATTTTGATCCAAAGTGCCAGAAAGATTTTTTTTTAATTTTTATTTTTTTTGAAAGAGCAGTGTTAAGCAAAGCCAAACCCCAAACCAACCACACACTCTTGTGTCTGATTTCTGGAAGTGAAATCAGGCTTAATTTCAGGCTGGTTCATCATCAAATCTCCCTGAGGTCTTGGTCTTCCTTATTACCCTGCACTAAAAGAAGTGCTTGAAAATAGCTGTTTTATATCCACCACTTACTATAAAAAACTGAAAAATCACTAGCAAGCACCTTGCCTAATCCTTGCTACCTGCTCCTAACCTATACACGGCACTCCCTCTGTGCCCTACCGCCGACTGTCTCGGGGCAGAACTGGCTGTTCTTGAATTGTTCAGAAAACTGAATCAGTGCAACACTGAAGACCATTGAGTTGACTTTGTGAGCATCCGTGAAGACCGTTGAGTTGACTTTGTGAGCAGCCGATGTCGTGAGTGTGGGGTGTTGGATGACTGCTAATGGAGTCAATGGTTTGCCCTTGTGGAAGCAGTGTGTAATAGTGTATCATTTGGGGAAATTTTTGTTGGTAGCAGTGTGATTTAGGTGATGGAATGAGGAAGCGCTGGGCTTCTGTTATCTTTGGCTCAAACACTGCTGTTTGGGGCTGGAATTATAGTCTAAACATTTAGCAAAATTGGAGACAAAATTCATGCGTTTCAGTGTGAAAAAGAAGGGTTTATTCTTCACAAAGTGTCAACCATGGAGTTGCAACCACCATTACCACAATAACAATATTCATAATAGCAAAGCACACAAAGAAAATTAAAACCGACTGTAGTTATTAATAATTAAATGGATTAATCATTTGCAGCAGATCATTCCAGGGAATGATGCCTGCCCCTTTCTCAGGAAGTGTCACAAACAGATCACAATTGTTTGGACTATAAATCTGTTCTGAGTTATTGGTTTATATAATTTCATTAGGTGATCCTGGAATATTTGTGATCAACATATTTTCAGCCGTGACCAAAGAGGCTAAATGGGCTCTTCTGCAAGTTGTGGCCTGCGTTCTTGTGGGAAACACTATGGGAGGGCTCAGCCTGAATAGGCTTTGCTGCAAATAGTTGCGTAGGTAGGACTTCTAAATGGCCTTTTCACCCCAGGGAGAGATGGAGTCCAGGCCTGGCCACAGACTCCTCTCTGATTGGTTCCCCATAACATTATTTTTCATCTAAATGGGTGAGTAACCCAGTATTAACTGGGTTAATACTATAATTTTGTAATGGTTTTGTGGTTGATTGTGCTTGAGGGGAAAGA